CAACTTTGGAAAAAGTCATCCCAATTTACTGTGTTGAGTTGGCATTGTACAGAAATGGACAACCATATTGGGCTAGAAATGTTAATTTATTTTTATTTTTATTTTCCATGTGTAGAGGGGCAACACATCATACTAAATATGTAAGGTCATATCTACGTGGGTTTGATTACAGAAACTAATAAAGTATTCTCTAAATAATGAAAAAAGAATAAGATAAGACTATAAGAGTGAGAAGCAATTTAAATATGTTCAGGGACCATTTTCATCTCCAGAATTAAGGATTATTTTAATGTTACATCATTGCCTTTTCTCTTTTACTTTCCTTTTTAGTTTTATTTTAGGATTCCCTATTTTTAATGTTAATACAGAAATTTCTTTAACTGAAATACTGAATAGTTTCTTTGGTGTGAAAAACTATTAATAGTACACAGGATCCTAATGAGATAATTAATAATGTGAAATTGGAAGTAAAGGGCTAAAGGCATAGGGAAAGTGGGAAGGGTGAGGGAAAGGTAATGAGGGAGAGGGAAAAAATATGAGAAACTGAAAAAATGGAAATAAAGTGTTTGTAAATGGGGAGGGGAGGAGGGGGTGAAGGGAGGGCAGGGACAAGGGGAAAATATGAGAATCAAGACCTATTATGTAAAGGTACAGAATCCCAATGATGAATGTAATTGTATTGTATACCTAGATTGTACCAATAAACTCAATAAAAAGAAAAAAAATAAAACATTTGTGATAAAGATTGAATATAAAATCTCATAAATACTATCACTACAAAGAAGTATGTGCACATGCATATGCAAGGAAGAACTTAGTCATGTTAAGGCAGTAAGATTATGGTGAGTTTATTAATTATCATCACGTGCAAATCGTCTTTGTGGTGTTGCTTAGCACCTGTCCAATCAAAAGCAAAGAGAGAGAAATAAAAGACTCAACCCAGCATTAACAAAGGGCCCAACAGACCTGAGTTGGGAGGCAAGGCAGAAAATGAGAACCAACATACATACCCAGAAGGAGGAGGCTGGGTAGGCCCCTGGGGAAGGGAAGCCCTCCAGGTATGGACAGGGGAGCCTTCCAGGTATGGAAAGGTTGTAATTAGTCTGAAGCTAATTACAGAAGTCTTACTAGCTTATTAATTTCTGACAGTCTCTAAATGAAGACTGAATTCCTTCATTAAGGTTCAGAGGCACATTTCCTATGTGGCCATTCTTCTCAAAAACCTAACCTTTTCTTTTTAAAAAGAGCAGTCAAGTAAAAATTATTAAGAGCAACACACACTCTGGAGAAATTAAGACTCTTGCTTTAAATGTAGAAATTTAACCCAACACAGAGAACCAGAACCAGAGAGGCTCAAATAAGCAACAGAACTACAATAATTATTTACACTGGGAAATATAAACTGAAGTTTTAAACATTCAGCTCAGTACTAAAGGTTCCCTTGATCTCATTCCAACCCATCTTTCTAATTATTACCCCAAAACTGCCCCATGTTCCAGTCAGATTTAGCCACCAGTGATCCCCAAAACATCTTCATATTCCTGCCCCCATGCCTGTTCAAGCTGTTTACCTACCTAAATACTACCTTAGCTCCTACGACTGCTTGCTCAAGTCTGACCCGTCCTCTAAGGCACAGCTCAAAGCTACATAACTCTCAAAGCCCAGCCCAATCCATGTACCCTCAATTCATTTCTTATTCCTCCCATTAAACCCAGAGCACTGTACCCTGAACCTTTTCACAGGAGTAACACATCGTCTGCCTTATGGTATAGTCACTCAGGTAACTGCAGAGATGATTTTTTTACCGTATTAAACATGAGCTTCTTGTGGATAAAGATCCTTTCAGGTTCCTACATGGAAGCAATCATGAGGCCTTGCACACAGCAGCCCTCACTAAACACATCACTGGAAGGCGAGGGAAAGAGACACACTGAGTCCATGAGAAGTCACCTCCTACCTCCGTGGCTCCCATCAGGCAGTACAGAGAAGAAGGTGTGCTGTTCTGTGGTCTCAATGAATCCTGTTTTTCTAGTTTCCAGCCTTCTTGAGTCTCCAGCTTCCTCCCTAGTTGACCATAGTCTGCTCGGCCCCAAGTAAACACCTTGCCAGTTCCTAAAAACAAATGTTATTTGAATTAAGGCTGCATTCCACGGCAGTGCTCTCATGGGTAGGCAATGAAATATTAGAGCAAATGTGAACATTTGTTTTAGCACTAACTACTCTGTACTAAGAGCCTTCCTATCTTCTTGTAAAGAAAGCGGGAGTATTCACATTGTTACAGGTATAGAATTGAGGTTGAGAGAGATTGAATGATTTGCCCAGGATCAAATAAGCGGTGAGGACTGGAGCAGGAATCAAACAAGTTGATTCTAAAGCTCATACTGTTGTACTGTATATAGCTAGAGATATGGTTATTCCTATAAACTTCAATCACACTTACATCAACCCACACATCCTTCTTGTGCTTTGCCTAGATACCTGTTCTCAGGCTCTCCTACCTCTCAGCCCACCCAAGGCCCCTTTACTCTCACTGAAGTTCTCCATATATATTTCAATTTTTTAGGGCCTTATTCTTAATTAATACCTGGTTTCATGTTTTCCCCACCATGTAACACAAGAGGACCTTTCACGGCCTATGCTTTTACTAAAGAAGCGATTCTAACAGTCCCAAAGGCAAGCATCAATGTGTTCTAGAAGAAAGGCAGTGAGAGAAGGGGGAAAAAAAGACAAAATCATTTGGAATCAGAAAAGCAGGTGGCTCCCCAGCACCATATGGGAAGCTGGCCAGTGCTGAAGATCATAGAAGAAAATAAAGTTTGAAAAAGGAGACATAGCTTTTCCTCTCCAGATCAGAGAAAATTAACCAAACTCACTCAGTTCTACCAAGAGCCACATTTGTTATTTCAACAGAAATGCAAAATCCAATAAGCATAGATTATTAACAGGTTCTCTGCAATAAATATGCATAACCATGTGCGCTGTATAAATTCTTTATACATGTTTATTTTAACAAAGAAAAACTTTGCTTAAGAGACAAAACACCAAGTAATGCATATTAAATTCTAGATAAATCTACTACATACTCTGTGTTTGATATCAAAGCTTCATCTGTACCCATATTCAACATATGGTTTATAGTGTTGGCTAAAAACAACTACAGACTCATGGGGGAAATGTCAGAATATCACAGGGAGACAGGGCTGGGCGTGGATGCGGTTCTCAGGCTCAACCTGTTTACAGACACTGAGATAAATACCAAGCAGTTTTCAGGCATCTGACTTCGGGGCTTCCTCAAAGGAGGAACAAAGCCTGTGCAGCCCACAGGGAGCTTGGTATGGCAGGGGAACTGGGAGTGGGTGCACTCAGGTGCACTGTTTCACACACCAACAGGTGCTGTTCCTTTCCCACCTGGTAAACTATGGCTCAATGTCTCATGGGCCACTAGCTCTCTGAAGCCTTTCTTGACTCACCAACTCTCCCCAGAAAGGATAAAACTCACCTTCCTGTGAGTTCCTTTATCACCTTGCCATCAGCTTCTGAACTGCCATTCCACACTCAACATTCTCCCTTTACTTATTCAAGATCAGACTGAAAAAAGTCATGTACCCTGAACCCAAGAAGCATTGAAAACCAGCAAACTGTCCTTCCACTGAAGCTGGCTAGGATTTATAATCAGACAGCCCTAGCAGAAGCTGTCCAAGAAGCCAGAGGATGAGACTGGGCTTCTTAAACATCCCTAACACTTCTCAGCTGGGCAGAAATAGTAAGCTGTTATCTGCAAGAATACAGAAAGAATTTGTTCTCATAAATTGCCAGATGAATCCTGTCTTTCACATCAAGCAAAACATCTTTTTTCTGTTATTGATTATTGATGTCCCAGACAGGCAAGACTGCCAGAATATGGTGCCACCATCATTACATCTCCAATATCAATTCAACCATCCCACTTACGTGGCACTTTTCACCTTCAAAGCACTTTACGAAGATTAACTAATTAATCTTCATTCTCTCTAGGGAGATTGCAGACGATCTGGTAGAGACAAGCCTAGAAATCAAGCCGATTCCACGTTTAGCCTTCAGTCTCATGACTAAGTTTGGTGCCCTCTCTGAACCCATTTGTCTGTTTCTCCTCAAAGTATACTCTGCCTCAGAAGGCTCACCAGCAATAAAGGAATTCCTATTTCTCCTTTCCTTTAAACAGGCATTTATGGACAACTTCCTAGGTACCCAGCACATTCATGAAACTCATTTCAATTAATCCTCGGAATAACTCTGACATAGAGATTATTAAGCTTATTTTGCAGATGAGCTTACACATCTTGAAACGTCAAATGACTCAGTCAAGTTCAAACTACCAGCAGGTAGTGGAATCAAGATTTAAATGTGTGTCTTTTGCCTCCGGGTCCAATGGTGTCTACAGTGATTGCACAGCTGCTGCCACAAACTGACAAAACTTGGTGGATGAAACAGCCATGCTTACAACGTTTGAGGATGGCGGAACACATTAAATGGATATGCTTTGTGTGCCACCCAGCTGTCCTTACTAGAGTGACCTCCCCAGGGGCTCATGAAGAGCTCAGGACTGTCTCTGCTGAAATAAAGGCATTCAACACATGGGTTATGATTTTATGTCATCTTGAGTAAAAGAAAATAATGAGCCTACACATAAAAAAATGTTCATTAATGCACTGTAGATAAATGTCTGCCTCAAGCTAAATCATGCTGTCAAATCCAAGGAGATTCAGATCATAAATTTCATAAATGAATCTTTTCCTTAGAGTAAAGAATTATATATTACTGAGATAAAGAATAGATATATTAATGTCATCTAAAAAGTATAGGTATGTGTCTCTGAATAAATGATGAGAGAAATGACAAAACAGCTCAAAATAAAGTCGGCAAATGAAATATAATTTAAAGACACATCCGTGTAAGAACAGAATAACTACAGAACCAAGAAATAACACTGTGACCAGTCTCAATGCAACATAGGACCAAATGAGCCAAATGAGTAGCACTGACAATGAACATTTAGGGTGTTTAGAGGCAACATTTTAAGCTAGAATCATCCTGGCAGGCAAGATAGAACAAATGGCATTTAAGGCGAAGTTCTATGTAAGAAAAGAAAACAGGAGAAAGGGAGGATATCATAGAAGCAAAGAGAAAGAGGTGCAACATGAAAATCGAAAGGGACAAGGCAGGAGGGGGAAAGGAGACCTTAGCAGGGAGGCTGGCAGGTAGATGAGGGCTGCCAGGCTAGGCAGCCACAAGAAGACGACAGGCATGGAGTCTGGACCTCACTTTCCACACCACAGGGCCACAAATCTGGTTGCCTCCTCTTCGCTCTCAGTACCATATTTTTTAGCATGTCAACATTTATATTTTCATTTATTTATGAAAATGTACCTCTGTGTTTGACATATTTATCATTATTTACAAACTTACCCTCAAAAACATACAGGATAAGACGTACTCAAAAAACAGAAAACTTAAAGGAATGCAACAAAAACATTAAAAAAGTCATAAAACTCTCTTATCTCACCCAGGCAACTCACCTTGCACACTTATTTTAGGGACTGCTGCTGCTTAGACATAAGAGGGCTGCAGCCTGATGACCAAGAGCGGGGCCACGTCAAAGGAATGTTTGAGGCCACACAACCTCTTCAGTCTCTAAACTCTCATCCCCTAGGATGCTATGAGGCCTTCAAGAATACACGAGAGGGAACCTACTCTCTACCTATGAGTTTTTACATTTATAAGTCAACTTTTTATGAATTCTAATTACTCTCAGGGTTACTCATTCTAAGCCCTCAAAAAGTAAGAATGACTTCTGTAGCTCACTCTTTATTCTGCCATGTGACAGAAACTTTGTAACAAACACATGAGATGGGTTTTAACAAAAAACAGCCCAAGAGTGATCCAGCGCCCTCTCTCTGTGCAAGGAGCAGAAGAGGGGAGGAGAAGGCTGGCTGGGGGCACAGGTGGTGGAAGCAGTTGCACTGGCACCATGCCATGCTGCCACAGGCCTCTGTCCTCACTGTGCCCCGTGTCTACTCCTGTTGACCCCATTCACCAAGTCACCTTCTACTCACTCCAGTTCTGCTGACTCCTCAGTCCAGAGTACATTCTTCGGCACAATAATCCCAGGAACCAAGATCTACCTTCTGGGAGCTCCTATCTAAGTTCATAAACACATATGCATTAGAGGAACTGTCTTGCCCTCCAGCAAGCCAGGTGCATGATAGCAGGGCTGTCTGATCTTGTACATGCCTTTATTCTAAAATAATGCCCAGCATGAAGTAGATACTCGAGAAATTGTTGTTACCTGAATGAACAAATGAACCTATCTCTTCATCAACCTACCTACTTTCTGTTCATCCCTACTGCACTTTACCATTCACTGGCTCCATATAATCATCAACAAATTAATTGAGTATCTCTAATCTCATCTACGGAATGACAGTGTGCCTGTGTAGGGCTGTTGCAAGAATAGTTTTGCATGAAGCACACAATATGTAGTGGCAAATATTAGCCATTCTTAGTATTCTTCTCCCAAACTAAATACAGAGTAACCGTGACTTCCAACAGGACTTCCATGGTTCCAAAAAGTTCTCACCAATTTTGCTATACAGTCTCAGCCAACTCTTACCTCCAGTGTCTTAGAGTCAGTGCCTCTAATGATAAAGAGAAAGAGCGGGGAAAGTTCCATCATACAATTTTGGATTTTCTTAATATTCAAGCATCATGCCAGGTGTGGTGGCACACACCTGTAATCCCAGCACTGAGGAGGTTGAGGCAGGAAGGAGAATAGCTACACATTCAAAGCCACTCTTGGCTACATAATGAGTTCAAGGCCTACACAGAGAAATGCTGCCTTAAAAAAAAAAAAAAGATTCAAGCATATTAACTTGTATATTAGAGGCATCTGATGTACCACATGATAGATATTCATTAAAGCTAGAAGAAAAAGACGAGAGGGAAAGGGACAATGGGGAAGAGAGGTGAAGCGAGGTGAGCTGGAGAAGAGAGGGGAGAGGCAGAGAAGGAGGGAAAGGAGTTTTAGCCCAAGACTCATGAGACCTGTGTCCTCATCCTAGCTTCTCCTCCAGGCT